TACTAATCACTGAATAAGTAAAATAAATTTAATAAAATATTTTTATTTATTTGACATATTGTCGTTGCAATATATATAGTTAATGACTATTTATAAAATTAAATAGGTCCTATACTTTTAAAATAATAAAAAAAAAACTTTTTTTGAAAAAAATAAAAAGATGTGTTTTAACTTTTATTTTTTTATAGATCTTATGATGAATTATTAGCAACTTGACAAATAAAATAAATTTAATAAAATATTTTTATTTATTTGACATATTTGTCAGTCTAATATATGCATAGTTAATGATTATTTGTATTAAGTAACAAAATAAAATTGACTTAAAATTGATATTATCAATACTTAAAAACATTTAGTTTTCCCATTTGGATAATATTAGTAATATTTTGTGATAGATGTTGTGTTTAAAATTGAAATTTAAATACACAAATTTTAACAAACTTTTCTATATTTAAGGTTTTTAAAATTTTAATTTTTATATATTTAAATCTTAATCTTATTTATAAATTACTAGTTAAGAAATTCATTTTTTAGCATATACATATCAAATAGCACTTCACCCCTAAGATTATTTTCTGGCTCTATCCTTGGCTATAGCCCTCATGAATCATGATCTTTCTAATGTATCTTGAGTGATCTTTCTCACGATCTTAATTTCTCATGACGTTGTTAATAAGTTGAAATTTCTTTGTATGATAAAAAAAAAAAAGAAGTTGATATGATTAATGTGAAATAAAATTCTTGGATTTTAATAAATAAGTAAAGAATATTCACATTTTTACTTATGTCACATCTTGGGGACATAAGTAAAAAATAGGCATTTAAGGTATGTCTATCAACCAATATTAACACTGTTAATTTTTGAGTTAAAATCCTTTATTTTGTAATTTATATTATATTAAATTATGTTGAGAATTATTATACTACGAGATAGCAACCAAACATTAATAATATTAACGGTGGTTGACAGAAAGGAACTTACATTCTCATTTTTTATATGTCCAAAGATATTATTTGACACTAGCAAAGATTTTGAATTTTTTATTATTATTTTAAATTACACAATAAAATGCAATAATCTCTTATATTTTAACCTCTCTCGCTCATATACCTAGCTACAACTAGAATATTTTAAATATTTTTTTACTTATTTTATAAAAGTTTAATTTTTTTTTATCAACCATTTTATTTTATAAAAGTAATAATTTTATTTGACGTTAAACTTTGTTACCGCTGACTTCCTATCAATAAATTGTGTATTTACCAAGTATATATCTCTACTAATCATCATCTTCATCTCCTCGGCTAAGCTAAATTAATTTCAAGTTCGTTTATTTGAATAATATAATTAATGCATACCACTGTTGTGTTGGTGCCGAATTGTGAACTTCATTGTGTACGTTTCTTTTATATATATATACATAGTCAATTTGTTAAGGGGACAATTTCATTAAAGTGTGTTTGAATTTAAAGTTTTAAATTTAAATATATTGTTTGTTTTATTTAAATGTAATGTATTTGAATTTGGTTTAAATACATGTATTTGACATCATGTATTTCAAAGTTAAAATTACAATTATTTTAAATACATTTTTTAATTCATGAATTTTAATTTTGAATTCATGTATTTCATCAAAATAAGATGTGTTCTCAATGAAATTTCGGACCAAGTTTTGCCTAGTTGCAATTGGGTAATCAAATTAGGAAATTAAAAAATGTATATATATTTTTGGTGTGTTTTCATATATTGATTTTTTAATTTTTCCTTAAATTTTATTATTTTATAATTTTTATTGAATTCAAGAATTTTTTTACAAATATTTAAAATTAATATTTTAAACTTTCCTATCAATCTATTATATTCTTCTTTGTAAAGAGACTAATATTTTCTTTTTACCAAAATATATTTAATTTTTAATTTTGAGAGAATTTAAATAATATTTGAATATTTGAAAATAAAAAGTATATATAATTCTCTTATTAATGAAATAGAGATTATTTTTTTACCAAAATATATTTAGTTTTTAATTTTGAGAGAATTTAAATAATATTTGAATATTTGAAAATAAAAAGTATATATAATTCTCTTATTAATGAAATAGAGATTTAATTTAAATAATGAGTAAAAAATAATTTAATTTAACATAAAATTCAATTTTAAATGCACAATATTATAATGTATCTAAATAATATATTTTTAAATATATGTAATTCAAATTTAATTTTCTTTATTTAATTTAAATAGTGTATTTTAAAATATATATTTAAAGTATATATCTTAAATATAAATATATATTCCCAAATACAATTTAAATAAATTCTACATAAATTCAAGAACTATACTACTACACTTGTAGCGTGGATTTCCATTACGAATGTTTCAATCAATTGATGGCAGTGTAAACGGACACTGTTTCCTCTTAGAAAGAACATTTGAGACTCTCGCTTCCTTTCTCTATAATTGTTACATGTTTTTTTTTCATATAACAACTTATATAAAAAATAAATTTACTACTTTAAAATTTAATTTTAATTAATCTTTTATACATTTTTATTAATTTTAAACAATATTATATATATTCAGAGATAATAAAAAATTAAAAATAAAGAAATTATAATTACATCGCAACATAGCAAAAAACAGCATACACAAACTAATAGTGACTGTTATTTTTCACTTTGATTTGGGACAATTTGGTCTTTAGTCAATGGTATAACTCTCAGTTACTTCCCATTTTTTTCTGCCAGTTTTCCCTTGAAAGGAATATAGAAAA